AACAGCAAATGCAAAGTTTAGTACATGGACAAAATGCAATACCGCAATCACCACAGGCTGACATAAATGTATTTCTGCAACAGCAACGTTTACAAATTTTGAAGCAGCAACAACAACAGTTATATCATTTTCAGCAACAAATGCAGCAGCAACAACAACAGCAACAAAATAAAGATCATTCTGGTAGCTCAGGTGAGCCATTAGCGTTAACGCGCACCCCAGCTGCTGCGGAATTGCTTAGTAAAACTTATCAACAACATCATCAACAACAGCCGAATGGTAGTTCAACTAATACCAATTCTGCAATTAATCAATTTCAACAACAACTACAAGCATTGCAACCAAATATAATGCAACAATTACAGGCCTTTCAGATGCAAATGCAGCAGCAGCAACAGCAACAACAGCAACATTTTACGCAACCAACTCCACAACAACAACATCATGCACAACAACAAGCACAATTACCGATTCCGCAACAGCAATTGCATGGTCAAAATCAACAACAGCAAAAAGCTTTATCTGCGGCAGCTGTACAGCAGTTGCAAACCTTACAACAATGCTATTTATCAGCAGTTCAACATACACAACAAGTTGGTTCTAATAAAATTGGTGCAACACCACCTCCACCTCCTCCACTTACCAATCAAATGAAACCGCCCAATTTACCACCAAGTACTCAAATTACACCTGTACTTGCAAATACTGCCGCAAATATTGGGTGTGGCTCTTTGCCAACTGGATCAATATCAAAGAGCCCTTCAAATATGCCACCAACAATTACTGGATCTTCAAAACAAGTAGCGCCATCCATATCTTTATTGCCAGCAAAACATCCGGCAACGTCTCCCACGCCAACAGCAGCACATCAACAAAATAAATTCGGTGCTGGTAAATCTTCTCCCATAATAAGTGCTATACCGCCACCATTTCCATCGCACCATCAAAAACCTTCAAATACAACTGTGACCCCCGTACCGACCACTTTAAGAACTGGTACAAATCCAGACTCAACAGCAGTGCAGAATTTACCGCAACGGAATCCTGTATCACTAACGAAACAAACAACTTCTACAACATCATCATCTGGTAATAGTGGTACTAGTATACCTCAAACGCCTGTAGAGACTTCAGTACAACATACTATTGAGCCACTTAACTCGAATCAAATTACTCAGCCTAAATTTACCCCAACCACAGTTGATTTGCCCTCGACTAATAAGAATTTAAAATCTCCATCCTTGAGTGTAAACAACAAAAATAATGAAAGCGAACATTCTGCTACAAATACGCCAGTTGTTGAGCCTCTAATAAAGGAAAAAGAAGCTCCACAAACTGCAGATGATGGTAAACATATTATAATACATATATATTATTGATATATTAATTTAATATTTTAATATAGGCAAAACTGAAAATGTTCAAAAACCAATTATATCAGAATCAAATGAAAAGAAAACGATGGATGGCACTGTTCCAGGTTCTTTGGATTCTGTTGAAAATAAGGAAACTGTAGACAATACAAGTGCGCAATCGGCTGAAATAAAGATTACTAAAAATAACTCTATCGCAAAAGATATAGAAAATGAAACGGTAACGTGTTAATATATATATTTTTTAAATGAAATTTTTAAATATAATTATACTTTCAGAAAAACAACAATGAAGAAAATATAAAACCTACTGCTGACGCACCAAAATCTTGTCCTTCGGTTGATAATAAAGACGATGAAAATGTTATTAAAGAAACGAATAAAGTACCAGAAGAAAAACAGGAACAAAAGTCAATAGATGCTGCAGATACTAAAACTGAAGATGAAATTAAACTTGCTGCAGGCGGTTCATCTGAAGAAAAAGACATTGGCGATGTCACAGCTAGGTTAATAAAAGTAAATGACGAAAAACTTTCAAAAGAGGACTTGGAGAAAGCTGATAAAGAAAATAATGAATGTAAAAAAGAGAAAGATACGGTCAATGATGAAATCATACCAAACGAAGTAGAAACCAATTCTGTTAAAACAAGTTTTGTAAACCAAAAAGATGAAAAAGCGATTGAGGAAAAGGTGGAACCACAAACAGCAATCTTGGACTCCTCTGATAATAATAAATCTTCAGCAGTTATTTTACCTAAAACCAATGAAAATACTGCAACAAATATAGATACAAAACCTATTAAAAAACCACTACGGCAATCAAAATCTGTTAAATCAAACAACGTTTCAAATGTACAGTCACCTATTGAAAAAACACCAGAAAAAAGTGAAAAAGCTTCTAGCAGTCGTGCAGCAAGGGAAGACAAAAGAAAATTAAAAGTAGATGTCAACCCGAATGATGTTGTGTCAACATCACCTTCAACGCCTGTGGAAACAAAAAATACTTCCAGAGATCGTAAAAGTCAAAGACATCGTCTCAAAACAATATTATATCAAAGTCCATTACCAGAATTGGCTTATATTACTAAACTTTCCGCCAGTGAGGCATCAAATTCACCAAAGCCAATGTCAGTGGAAGACAAACTTATTCTATTTTACAAAAATGAATATATGGCAGTTCGTAATGCAGAAGGTACATTTTATCTTTGTCAAACAATGCAAAATGTGTATCGTTCATCGCCCCGTATCAGCATTCGTTGGTTGTCAGAGGATAACAAAGATGAAACCATCTACATACCAGATTTTTACGACCATACAGATCGTGAATGTGTTTTAACTACCGTTGAATTGAAAAAACTTGATAAGGGACACTTACGCTTACCTGAAGAAGAAAGAACACGTATAGAAAGCATACTTAAAAAGGCCCTAGATGTAGAAAAGGGTATTGTACCAAGACCAGAACTTTCAGAAGAGAATCCAGATGGACGTAAGTTTATTAGAAATAATAAATATATATTTGTCTAATTTGAAAATATTTTTAGTTGATATCTCATTATATAAAGATGAATCTCAAATTGAGAAAAAAGGTGGAGGTGGTTTATTAACAGTTGCAGCTGTGCGTAAGTCAAGACGCAGTATCAATAATGATAGCATCGGAACAGGAGTTGCATCACCAACAGTTGGTAAAAAACGCAGTCGTGGTAGTGTGAGTGCATCTATCGCGATTTCAAAAAAACTATCGGCTAAAAAGCGAAAATCAATAAGTAAACGTAAAAAAAAATCAAAAGGTTCAGATTCTACTGATGAAGATAATGATGACGAAAGTTCAGATGAGAGTCCATCTGATAAAGAATATAAACCAAGTCAAAAAAAGTCAAGTAGTGTATCGGCTTCGAAGTCATCACCACGTGCACAAAGATCGCCTTTAGCTAAAGCAAGAGCAGCTTCACCAATTACCCCAACAACATCACGAACTAAACAAGGCTCTGAAAAGGTATATTAATATACTATAAATATTATATAACATATATGTTGTATACATATCTTAGATATATATTATATTTATATATTATATATATATATACTAAATATATATATATATTATACATATATATATATATATACTGGGTGTATAATAATATTCGCATTATATGATTTTTTTTGTTATCTTTCAGACCGTTTCAAGTAGTCGAAGTGATCGAGCAACAAAACGAAAATCCATACTAGATGAAAGTGTAGATTATCCCTCACCAGCAAAACGGGGCACAAATTCTAATACAAAATCAGTAAACTCAAAGAATAGACGTAAGTACGCTTACAGTTGCAATATATTTGCTACATTTGGTATTAAAAAAAACTATTTAAACAGATCCTGAAACTGACACAGAAGCACAGAACAAAAACTCGACTAATGATGTAAATAATTCAGCGACAAAACCGCATTCACCAGGCGTAAGTACATCAAATGCTAATGCAACTGGGCATAATAGACATACTAGAAGTCGAAAATAAAATATGATGAGCAATCATTGAAGAACAGTAGTTTTAATATTCTATATAATAATTAATACAAGAATTAGCTGCTGACAATTATGATTGATAAAACTGAGTTGTTAATTTCGATCGAAATGTATGATTTTTTTTTTGTTTAATTTAAATTTATATTTCAATTCTGTTTTTGTTTTTTTTTGTTTAATTTGAAATTGCATTTCAAGTATTTTTTTTTGTTTAATTTGAATAACAATTTAAGTGTTTTTTTTACTTTATTGGAAATTGCATTTCAATTTTATTATATTATGGTACTATGTCCATATTGATTTTGAAGACTCAGTCTGTTAATATAATTTTATAAACTCTATAAATTAGTATATAGTAGTAAATCAAATATGTAATAATCATATATACTATTACAATAGTTCATTGTATATATGGAATTCAATTATTTGTTTAATATTTTAAATTGTTTTTAAATTATTACTAAGAAGCAATTTGAATTTCAAAATCTTATGATCAGCCATTATATGACTCAATTTTTATTAAATTTTTTTTAATAATTTTCTACGTATGATAATACATACACATTTTTGATAATCTTTTACTTTTATGCATATTTTTAAAAAGTTTGGAAAGTAGATACAAAATATTGTGACTGAAAAAAGCACATAATTTAATAAGTTTTTAAACAACGTCTTCAGCTTTTATATTGCATCGCTTAGCTGCGAAATTTGTTTTAACAAATTTGAGTTTTGATCGGCTACAATTAGTAATAAATCTCGTCAAAGATATTTTAAATTCTTGTAATTCTCGTTAACGTTCCGGTCGACAATTTAATATATAATTTTAATATGTTTATTTGTTTCAAGTAGTCCTATTTTAATGTATTTGTTTTTGTATTTAATTTTTGTAAGAAAAATATTCATAATTGTAAACATGTATTTACCTGATTGATTTGTATATTGTTTTATTTGATTGTAGAAACCTATTGCAATTTTTACATATAAAGTTTTAAGTTAATTTGTGACTAAAATGAAATTTTATACATATAAATTATGTATAACATATAAATAATTATATATACACAAATTTGCTAATAATCTATTAAAAAAACATAATTATATATATAATTTTAAGTAATAAAAATATAGGCAAGTCTATGAACCTAGTTATACGAGGCACAATTTGCTATATTAGTTCATGATAATATGTATTAATAAGGATTCGGAACATAAATAAGCAAAATATAGAAGTATGCCTTTCAAAGATAAAACATATGCAGTATAATACAATAGTAAAAAAGTATATAACAAAAATTTTATAAAGTAGATATCATAAACATAGACTAGGCTATGTATTTATTATATCAAAAATATGTTATTGTACAATTGATTTCTTTGGTAGGCACCACAATTTAAGAATTATTCAAATGTTGAGTAAAATTCATTTGGAAGAGCAAAAAGTTACATGACTAAAAATTTAAAATAAATATGAGAAACAAAAAAAATCCATTAAATGAATATAATTAATAATAGGAAATGTTTAAATTTTAAAATGTTAAGTTAATGAAAATGCCGATGAAATTGTTTTGTTAGTTTAGGCTGCAATTGTAGAAAAGAAAATATATTAAATCAAATTATAAAATTAAATATTAGTTATTTTCATTCACAAAAAAGGTCACAAAAAACAAAAATTTACATAGATGAAAATGAAATATATATTAATTATATCTATTTGTGCATGCGTGTCTACATGAATTTAAAAAATTTATTTAAGAATTAAATAATATTAGTTTATGTAATCAAATATGTAATTGAAAACAAGCAAAGAATTATATAAGGTTTTAAAAATAATTTTAAAATGTATACATTCACATTTAAAAAAATATTGTATAATTTACTAAAACAAGGCAGTCGGCAGCTTAATATCGATTAACATATTCTGAAGTATAATTTGTCACTAATATTAAGAAAACATATAACACATAATTAAAATAACTACAGCATATATGAATGATATTAAAAAATTTAACAAATTTTATAAAATCAATATAAATTGTTAAATTAAAGGGAAATATCAAATGTATTTCTTCAGATAGCCGCAATGAACAGTAATATTTCTTAAAAGGTCATGCATACATAATGATGAGGATATATATGTATATGTATATATATATACATATATATATGTATACATATACATATATACAAATAATTAAGTTTAAAATAAGTTAATAAAGAGAATAAAATTCATTTTGAAATCTTAATTTTAATTTGTTTTATTTCTTTTTTTATAACAGTATTGTAGATTGAAAAAATATTGAATGGGATTTGCAAGTACCGGCTCCAATGTTTAACTAAAGGTGGTAATGTATAAGACTAAAATACAAGTTCGTACATTTTAATAGTTCTGAAATTTAGTTCTGAATTTTATTTTCAGTTAAATATAAGTGCTTTCAGATAAATGTTATGTTTCGCAGATGACAATCTGTAAGCAGGTGTGGTCCGAAAAACTGATATAAAAACAATATTTTGTAATTATATTCATAATCTTAAACACAATCGCGATGCTTAATATTTTGATATTGAAAATATAATAATAAATCTAGAAATTTGCTAGTATTATTATATGAATAATATTGATAGTACTATATGAAGAATTAAACAATTGCAGATATTTGTTTAATTACAGAAAATAATTTTGACGTTTGAGTTATAATCAGCTTTCAGGTTAAGTGTAACAAATAACGGTTTTATATATGGTAAGACAAAATATGTCTATATTGTGGAAGTGCCACAGTGCGAAAACTTGAGAGTAATAAATACCTTTACTCCTTCATTTGGGTGTGTAGCAATTTATCGGTACACGGAAAAGATGACAATCTACATCACTTTTAAATCCTTTTTTTGTGTTTAAAGTATTACAGAATGAATATTGGAAAATCTTCTGTTCAATGTTTCTTTATTTTTATTAATCTTCATATATAATACATTTCATTCTTAGGTTTATTTAGAAATATATGACTTTATATATAAAAAATCAAAAATTTTAAACTGTATGAATATTAATTGTATTTTAATCAATTATTTTAAAATTAAATTTAATGTAATAATAATTCACTGCCTGTCATTGTACTAATATTTTTTATTTAATTTCAAATGTTCTACATTTTATTACTTTTTTTTATTCGTCTTTAATTGAATTTTCTTCTTCTTCAATTTCGTGATCGCTTTCATCGATGTTCTCAACGCCAAGTTTTCTCAAAATACTGCGCAAACGGCGAATTTCACGTCTGGCGTCATCGACCTCAGCCTCCAGTTTTTCGAGTGTTTCAGCTGAAACTATAGTAGCACCAAGTTCTTTTCTTATGTATTCCATTGGATTATTTGGTCTACGCTTCGATTCAAACATTTTAGTAAGAATCTGTGACAATTTCTCTTGAACTCCTGATTCTTGAAAATACGATAAATAATTTTCTTTTCGCGCATCTGTCGGTATCTCTAAACCACCAAAAAACATAGCCATTTTATAAACTATAATTCAAATTATGAATTAAAAATAAAAGAAATTATTCAACACAATCAAGTTTAAAAGTAACTGTAAACTACATGCGGCCACTATTTTAAAATGTCGAGCTTTAAAAGTTCGAAAATGAGATCAGTGTACTGTTCACGCAAGATGCAGTGCTGCCAAACTTTGCCACTGTAGCAAATGTAAAACTTTAAACATTTTTCAACTTTTACACGAAAGCTTTAAGTATCAGTATGTTCATATATTTAAAATAAATTTCCTTTGAGTTATTTTAAGTTACAATTATGTTCAGAAAGTGTATAAAGTTGAAAAAAAAAATGTTGGATTACAGTTTAAAATAGGTTCAAATTAATCGAAACCACTGTCATCTCAACGTGTAAGAGTGAAAAAAACGATCATTGTAATAGAATATTAAAGAATTTTTCTTTAAAAAATTTTTGTTCAAAATAAAAATCAAATAAAATGTTAGTTTAAACTACCTTTATATCCATGTTAAAAACTTTAATATTTTTAAAATTCTCAACATTGTGGGCGTTAGTTTTTTCTACATAATTTGCCAGATAACACGGTATATAAATAATCGGCCGTAGTGTTCAATTCTTTCAATATCGTCAAATTACATGTACACCTTCAAAATTGATTTAATCTTCTTTGGTTTGGCATTCTGCCATGAATATTTTGCGACTTCAAATTTAGTAATACTTTTACCCAAAATAACGATTATTATAGTATATAGTTCTTATCGCGTTCGGTAATAGCTATCTATCTCTAATACTGGATTCTTTTCGTATTGAATTTGAATAGATTAATTGTTCTTTAAAAACACAATTCCATTATGTAAACCCCGGTGATTAGCCATCACTATGTCCAGTGTATTGCTATTTTGCGATATACTGTGAGTTCTTTCCACCATTTAGTACCATTATCACTTCCTGCTCCATTTAAGTATGGTTCATTAAAGAAACGTCATCTAAAGTCTGCTGTGGTGGAGCAGAACTGTCTGTCTGGAACTGTCTGTGAAATGCTGAGGATTGTTGGCAATCCTTACGACAAGTAGATTCGTGAACAGGTTATCTCCACCTAAGTACATTGATGGATTAATGCCTGATACTGCGCTCGCAAATCTATATTCTTCTTAGTACTCATCGGTACCTGTGTAATGTAAGATATGATAGAACAATTGTGAAAAGCATCATAAAAACCGCGATTAAATAGTTAACATTGCAACCCAGGTTGTATAGACCTATAAGGTATATTTCTAAATGATTTTCTTTTACGTAGAATGAAATTATCTTCCTAATCATTAAATATAACTTTCATGTAATATACTAAATCTCTTATTTATTAATAGTTTATTATGGTATTCTATCTGAAATTCAATTTGTGTTATTAGCCCCACAAGTCACTTAAAATGTGAGATATGATAAAACAAGTGTGAAAAATATCAAAAATCGGGATTATATAGTCAACCTTATACATTTTAACTTAACTTTACTCTTACACTTTATTTAGACCTATCAGCTTTTTGACCATATTCGCTAACCATGTGCAGTTTCACATATAATTCCCATGTAATATAGTAAATCATTATAATGTATGATCTGTAAGAAGTCTATGTTCCGGAACCACTCGCCGCTAGCGATAACCAAGTACCGTTCAACAC